TATGATGACATTTAAAGTAATAAAACTATATGGAATCTTCAGGTGAGATATTTTTTTCATAAATCCGCCATATAAATGAGGATTTTAAAAAAATTCATCGAAATCGGATGATTTTTCGATTTCGCGGAGCCAAAAAACGAGGGACCGCGAAAGTATAAAATTACCAAAAGTGACGTTTAGTGTTTTTTCATTAATTACCTACAACCCTTCACAAGTCCGCTGCTGAATATAAGCCTCCTCACAGAGATGCCACAAAGCACGGTTCTGATCCACCTGCATCCATCGACTTCCTGCATGTCTTACCAGGTAGACACTCCATCTATTAGAGGGTCGCCCTGCACTTCACCCACCGGAACGAGGCAGCCACTCGAGAACCTTTTTACCCCCCCTCGGTTGTCGATTTTTCGAACTATACGGCCCGCCCATTGTCACTTCAGCTTATTAATCCGTTGGGCTATGTCGGTCTCTCTGATTCTACTGTGAATATCCTTATTACTATGTTTATCATACAGAAAACCCCGAGCATAGCCGTCTACGTAGCTCGCAGAGCGACATTTAGCTTCGACTATGGCCAAAAACCCTTCACCCTTCATGGTTTTTTAGTGTAATATAAAATTGTGATTTTATTAGTAAATATAATAATGGCCAGTTTTTGAAAGACTGATCAAACACAGATTTTATTGCAAATTTAATCAAAAAGTTGGCTATGGGTACTTTCCACGTTGTGTTTATACCGAGCAATGAAAACACTAATGCGTCAGTAGCTTTATCGAAATTATCTGATATAATATCAAATACGTAGTTGACATAGCTGCTTGATTTTCATTTCATCCATGACCCAGGTACAAGATTGTTTTATCAGTGATACTCTCCGCTCTCAATTTTAATGCCGTCAGCGTCCTTGAGTAAGCCCTGGTCGGCCATTGATGATACTGTACCACTTAGTCAATATCCGTGGTGCAGGCAAACATATCCAAAAGTTTTACGATAGAATTTTTGTTAATAATCAAGTGTTAGGGCGAAACATCCTAACTCTGTGAAATATTTAGTTCTGGACAGTTTTCCAGACTTAGTTTTAAGTAATTGTCTCTTCAAAAGTTCGCTTTCTTCAGTTATCATATTTTATAGTACCTATTTATTTTTATCAAAGATGTCTCTGTCAGGGAATCTAGTATTTCTTGCAAACTTGTAACTTTTTTCTTTAAATACCATTCCTTATTCACACACACCCACTTACTCTCTCTCTCTCTCTCACACACACACACATATATATATATATATATATATTTTTACATACACAGGCCACAAGCGTGCCACATGCGTGCGTACTTTTGTCGTGAATATTATTAGTTTTTATTTTAATTTTTATAGTTAATTATTATGTAACTATCATGCAAATCGTAATGTAAGTGCTATGGAAGAATGGAGTTTCCTAATACAAGTTTTTATATTTAAAAGGACCCCATCTCCGGTTATAATTTGTGTATAATCATTTACTGAATACACTATTTTTATGTATTATTATCTTTAAACCAATAATAGAAAAATGTACAACTTTTGTAATAGATACTTTATAATAAAATCTAAACAAAAAATAAAAACCTGTTCGGCAGACAAACCCGAATGGGTTAATTAACTTATCGATAACTAAAGTTGTAGCGTACATCACTACATTGCAGTACTTTCGGTTGTAGTGATACTCGTACCGGTTAATTTTACAAAAATTACATACATTTGCTACGAAGTGGCAAATTTCGATTCGACTTACTTGGCCTTTATTTTATATAATATTTTGATAAAGACTAGTTATCGATTATAAGTATTAAATTATATATTCAGAATCCAAATTATATATGTTAAATTATAATTTATACAGAATCGTGTTGTGATTGAGCAGAATATTTTGTTTTAACGGTAATATTATGTTAAAGGTATTCACAGATGAGAAGTCACGTCGTCCTTTTGTAGATTTGACGGTTTTAATTGTTTTTTGCATGAAATTACACTGCAATTTGGCATTTTTGTCGGAGCTCAATTGACTGGCACGATCACTTGTGTAATGGCGTACGACCCGGAGTAACTAGTTTTATATAACGGCATTTTATAAACCTATATTTGCTACGAAGTGGCAAGTTTCGACTCCACTTATTTGGCCTTTATTTTGTATAATATTTCGATAAAAACTAGTTATCGATTATATTAAATTATAATATATTCAGAATCGTGTTGGGAGTGAGCTTAATATTTAAATCATTTGACAAAATCCACCACACATCTTAATGTAATGATTATTATTCATAACAAACTGATTAAGTTGATATGAAATGAATTTCTGTTTATATATTTATTTAGTGTAGTATATTATATTTATTTTAAAATCGCTAATTTTTCAATTCATGAACTATGCTAGCAACACTTGATATTTTACTAAAATATTCAGAAAATAAAAGTTTTAACGATAATGATATTATGTTAAAAGCATTCACAGATGAAAAGTCACGTTGTCCTTTTGTAGATTTGACGGTTTTGATTGTTTTTGTATGAAAATACACTGCAATTCAGCATTTTTGTCGGAGCTCAATCTACTGGCACGATTACTTGCGTAATGGTGCACAACGCGGAGCAACTAGTTTTATACAACGACTATGAGTCGAACTCTCGTACCTTTTACAGAGGGGTATGCCATGCGACGCCGTCTCCTTTGGTTTAATACTCAACGGCTCTAACTCATAGCTTAGCCACTGCAGCAAGGAGCCGTCGCCGCAAAAGGGGAAGAGCATAGAGTACGTGTATGCTAGAACGACAAAAATAATGTAGATCATTTATGTACATGCTATCGGCTTGAATCGGCCTGACGTCATTCGTGCACAAAACAAATAAAAATTAATATTTAATAGTCGTAATTAAATGACTACATGTATTGTAAAAACTAAATATAATTCGTCTCAGTAAGAAAACCCTCATTATTATACATTTAACTCGTAGGTACGATTAAAATATTACAAATATTGAGCACTTAAATGGATGGGAACAATTATCACATTTTATAATATTATGTATTAATCATCTGAAGCAAAGCAATTGAATTTAAAATAATTGCAAATACGTGAAATCCTTCTAATATTGACCTCAGTTTTGTAGAGATTGACACTATCCATAATATCTAATCGGCATGTCCCTAACTGCCAAAATTCAACTACGTAATTATTATTTTTTTAATTTTTATCGTTCCGTAGGTGAATATTCTTCAAATTGTTTAAAAAGAATTATAGAATTTGGATGACAAACGAGCACACAATCCTAATTCACACCTAATGGATGTGGTGGCAGATTTGCATTAAGATATTGATGTCAACAAAAAAAATTGAAAATAATAAATATAGAAGAGTGGACTGCCAAAAGAAAATATTTGATTATATGCAGCAAATACTTTGAAGTAAATTTCTTTTTATTCCCTAAAACATTATGAAAAGTTCAAAATTAAGTCCTAACTACATTTCGGGATATCTTAGTTATAACTTGTGACTACAGCTACATACAAACTTTATTCTACTTTAATTTTTATTTTTATTATAAATTATAGCAATACCTGAATAGCAATCTACCGCAGAGTATCTGAATATGTTTCGCAATAATATTCTAAAATATTGACATTGTAGTCTTCTTTAATATTTTTTTGTACACGTTTTCTATCGCAATTTGGTTTGAGATACTAACTTTTATTTTGTTTTTAATGATTTATCATTTTTAATATGTTTCATTCAGCGACTTTATAGGAATAATTTTTGAAATTCATGTATGAACTAAGAGGCAGGACATTATTTCTGTCTGACGGGTCGTCTTGGTAAGTATCACCCTCTTACCAAGTACCTGAATAAATACAGCTATCATGCATTGTCTCTCAGGCCTTAGAGGTGGCAACGACGTACCCTTCTTTATTTAAAGTTAGCCACAAGTGTTTATGGGCTACAGTAATCACTTATCATCATCAGGTGGACTTACATACATAGCTTTCTAACCGTAAATCTTAACCATCCTTTTAGCTTCGCCTCATTTTGGCAATATTATTAATATTAACTTGAGTCATTTGCGACAAATCAAAAAACACAAATATACTGTAATCGGTAGCGATAATTTAAGTCGTAGCAGGCAGTGCATGTTCAGCACTATTCGTCTTCCATAGATGCACATTTCACTCACAGGGGTGTGTTTTAATTTCGGTATATTCCTATCGTAAAGACTATATTAAATATATAAGGAAAGTCTTATCCCAATCACCTAATAATTCCATCGCCAATCTCATGTATATATACCACAGAGTACTTTTTATATAGGTGCCTGTGGAAATGTATACTTCATAGACTTAGAATATACTGGTGTACCTGTTCTAAGGGCGTACCTAAGTATTTGGTATACTTGCTTATGATTTATACTGGAGTTTTGGCGGGAACCTGGCCGTAGACGGACTGTCGCTCCTGTTCTATCACTTGAATGATGGTTTGAAGTTGATTTTGATTCGTAAAAATGATGCGATTTTTTGAGTTAAGTGTCCGCGCGTGTGATCTATTAGCAAAAACGACGAAACAAGTGCTTTGGTGTCGATATAAACCTTAAGTTATTTTGATCGCTTGGGCGCCTTATGAACTAGAGTGGCTGTCGTTATCAACTGTCCGCTGGGTTGAGCTGCTGTCAAAATCCCCCAAGGGCTTCACAATGTGACGTATCAGCATATTGTAAAGAAAAAGAATATAAAAATTAAGATTCCGAAAGAAATTATAGGCTCACAAGGGCTAGAACCCAGAGCCGTAAATCCAGTTAATAAAAAAAAGATGTATACTGACACTGACACCTGGCAGCTAAAAAATTGAAAAATTGCAAGAGGACGTATCTATTTTAAATAAAATCTCAAAATACAGAGACCTAGCCTAGTATATTGAACAAAGTTTTTACATGTAACAGTCAGAGTTTGTTTATATTATACCAATTTAATATTAACAAATATGTTACGAAATAAAAGATTTTATCGTGACTGCATAAATTCAACAATGTTTATTAAAACAAATTTACGGTCGTTAATTGCATCTCGAAAGTTTAGTTCAGGTAATAATAAAAAAGTTAACGGCGCCTACGACGTAATTATCGCCGGTGGAGGCATGGTGGGTTGCACTTTAGCGTGTGCATTAGGTAAGAATAATATAACCCCAATTCCATTACAAGTAAACTTTTTAAGAGTACAAGTAAAATTAGTATAAATTTAATTTATTCTAGGTAAGAGAGCCTTGCTGTCAAATTTAAAAGTCTTACTACTTGAAGGCAACCCGAGTTCTGAATTCAGATATAAACCAGAATATAGCAATAGAGTTGTTGCACTTAACCAGAATACAAAATCATTAATGAATTCATTAAAAGTATGGGAGCATGTAGAAAAAATGCGTCTTCAACCAGTCAGGTATATGCAGGTAAATTATTTTCAAATATTAAAAGAAAGTAAATATAAATCAAATTTCATCTATTTTGAGATTTGGCTTATAATTCACTTCATTTTTATCTAGGAGTCCACCTGGGAAAGTAACCCCCCATACTTGTTTCTGTTCTCTTCTGAATTGTATAGAGTGCCAGTATTATTACAGGCTGTGTGGTATTTCCTTTTAGTACGAGTGGTGACAATGTATAGTTAGCCTTTGTTTGAAGTTGGCGCCTGGTCTGTTTTAGCCACGTACCATCGGGTGTACGTATACACACAACAGAATTAACAAATGTACATAAGTACATTTGTTAATTCTGTTTTATAACTAAACTTGCTTTTAGCTACAGCTCTGTGTTTAGTTAAATACTGACAAAATTTTATTACTAAAATAATTATTTTAACTAAAAGAGGCAGAACATTCTACTGCAGTATACTTCTCTAAACTACATTTGTAATGCAGATTTTGGGTCCTCGAAACACATAAGCAAGTCATATGGAGCTGACCTGAAGAAAAATATGCTTCACCCAAATGTAATCCTGTTACTTTTAAAATTTTGACCCTGGAAGTTGTTATGGTTATTATATTTGACGATGAAGGTTTCGCTTTAATTGTAGTAGTGACATGTACCGACAGACCCGTTTGTGTGTGTAACTGTGATTTGTTTGACTCGCAATCATGACTGAGCGCTCCCAAAGCCTACACACACTAATACAATGTGCACAGCTAATAACAACCAAAGTCAAGCCATTGTGAAATTGAATAACTATAATCATATTGAAAATACACCTTTTAATAGGAATTGTAATTATTTAAAATTAAACAGTAGGTTCTTTGGTTTTGGTATACATAATAGCATTTTGTGGTATATGCTGTCTTTCCCTTTACTTCTCCTGATTAAGTAGTGGCCTTTTATGCAATGCATCTAAATTGCAAGTCATTGAGTCATATTGTCATATTAATATAGCATAGTGTTACAGTTCTGTCTATTATAGTTAATCCAATATATGCCAAGATTACTATTACAGTCTATCAAAAATCCACTGCTGAACATTGGCGTCCACATTAGATTGCCTCATAAGTGAAATATTTTCCATAGTTGCCATGCGTGGTAAGCAGGTTGGCAAGTGCTGTTGTGAATTTTTTTGTTGTTATTAGGAAGAAACTGTTGCCCATCTCCTTGTTTGTTTCCTCTGCCACCTCTTACTACAACCATGGGGTGATATTGTGTGGTGGATATTCATATTCTTCCATTGCCACTACCTGGTCTAACAGCCTGGCCACGGGACATTCGCCGTAGCGAAAATTCGCGCGGCGCGAACGGCGAGGCGTCTAGCGACTAAAACAAATGTATAGAAATGTATGAAGCATGCCACGCGTAGCGGCGAGTGGCGACGCGACCGGCGAAATTTACCGGGCGAATCGCGCGGGCGACTGGCGGCGCGGCGGGCGAATGAAACAAATGTATGAATCAGTACGGTGCAAGCCACGGAGTCGGGCGGCGGCGGCAGACGCGGCGAAGGAACTAGGAACAAAATATTTTAGTTGTTTTCGCCGCGAAAAATGCCGGGTCGACAAAAATAGCTTAAAATTCTATCCGCATTGACTTTTATCTCCAATTCTGGTTGAATATTAACAAGAATATAATCGCAGGTTTCAACACTCATTCTGGTATTTACTCGAATTTTTTTTCTAGATGCATTCTATTTGTTGGGGAATTCTCCATCTATAACCCGATTCCTATTCAAATCAAGTACTCCGCAATCTCATCCAAATATTATGTCTTGAATCAAAAAACAATTACTTTCTAAGCAATATCGAGATAACTTTGATAAAGAGATTTCACTCTTGGCCTATCTGGTCGCGGCGGCAAACGTGACTCCCCGTGGCCCTCAAATCGCGCAGCGCGAATTTTCGCCCCGCCTGTCGCTTCGCCGTTCGCGCCGCCGATCCCCGTGGCCAGGCCGTAAGCTAAATTTATTTTGATTTGGAAATTTTATTTTGAAGAGTAAATTCAACCATAACTGAAGCCATTTCCATTACACTATTATGTGTGATCCATAATGTAATCAGTTTATGTGTTAAATGGAACACAAATTGATATATTGTATTAAATAGGTATAGTGTATCGCAGACTTTTTGAAGATCAAAGTGCATACAGTGTACACTAAGAAATGGAACTTATAAGTGATTTTTAGCACCTTGAATAAAAAAACCGTGGGATGAAACTTTCTTTTACAAAAATATAGCCTATATTTTTGTGTTGTGGTGGTTATCTATATAATATTGCCAAGTTTCATTAGAATCCGTTGAATAGTTTTTGTGTGATTGACATACAAACTGATGTATATAGACACAAACATCTAAAGAAACTTTCGAATATATACTGCTAGTACTAGAACATATAGGTTATACCCGATAAATCCTAGTATCTTAACCTTTAAGTAGTGATGTGGTTTGGATGACTCATAAATGGTGAATAAACTTCCGGCAGGCTACTTATGCAAGAAATAAAACACTTAGTACAATATAAACGACTATTTACTCGTAAAACGATTCATACAAAAATAATAATTTTTAAATGCCTTATAATTTTCAGCCTAGCCAAACCACAGCGCGATTCAAAAAGTTGCATAAATCTAACAACGCCATCTAGTCGTCACCGAGGAACAATAAACTAAATATAATAATAACTGAAAATAATTATCTACAGCTTAACAATTTACATTTTTATAATATGTTTATTGGTGTGTATGTTTAATCCGGACATACCGCCCACCAAGGACATAATGAGAAATGTCCTTCAAACCGCCCACCATGCAACTGTCCAAACTGTAACGAATCAGCAACTAATAATTTATTTAGTTACAGGTAAAATTGCTATCTTAGAAGTAGGTCTTTTAATTAAAGAACTTTTGGTACGTATTGTGACGACTCGCGTGATTTTATCGGGTCCCGGATGTTTTTGCTCGATCTTACCTAGCAACCATCGCGCCGGGGGGTAGATCGTCCTCCTTTACTAAAACCACATCACCCACTGATGGTTCTGGGTTCTGATATTCCCATTTATGCCTTTGAAGGAACTGATGAAGGTAATCCTGGGACCATCGACGCCAAAAGTCCTGCATCATTCGCTGGTGGAGTTGCCATCTTCGCAAAGTATACATATTTGACGACTCATAATTTACATCAGGAACTACTATGAGTGGTTCCCCCACCAAGAAATGACCAGGAGTCAAAACTACGACCTCGGTTTGATCCCCTACACGAGACAATGGCCTCGAATTAAGACATGCCTCTATCTGAGATAATACTGTGGCCATCTCTTCATACGTCAAGTAGAGTTTCCAACTACTCGTTTGAGGTGGAACTTTGTGGACTTTATTCCTGCCTCCCATAGTCCACCGAAATTCGGAGCGCGAGGAGGAATAAAATTCCATTGTGTTCCATTGGTCGCGAGATACTCTGCCAGTTCAGGTTTAAATTTAGTTTTTTCTTCGTTGAACAGACACAGTAACTCTCGAGCAGCGCCTACAAAATTTGTACCATTATCGCTGTATAACTCAGCACACCTACCTCGTCTTGCGACAAACCTTTTAAAAGCGGCTATAAACCCTTGAGTAGACAGCTCGCTCACGACTTCAAGATGTACGGCTCTGGTCGACATGCAAATGAACAGAGCAATATATCCCTTGTAAGACTTGTTACCCCTACCCTTTGAAATTCTTATATTAATAGGCCCTGCGTAATCGACTCCGCTGACAAGAAAGGGCTTATTCGGTGTCACACGGGCGGAAGGTAACTGTCCCATGAGTTGAGATGTGGACCTGCTTGAGTAACGCGTACAAGTGACACAGCCACGATAATATTTTTTAATTAGAGCCTTCGCACCCACAATCCAGTACTTCGATCTCAAATAGGTAATCATGAGTTGCGGGCCTCCGTGTAGGGTTTTTTGGTGAGCATCAGCAATTAAGAGTCCGCTTAAGAAAGATTCTTTAGGTATGAGAATCGGATGTTTCTCGTTAAATGACAGCGAAGACATTTCCAGCCGGCCACCTACTCTAATTACACCTTCCGAATCTAAAAATATATTTAATGTCTTTAACTTTTTCTTTTTCTTATCTATTATGCCGTGTTTTCGCAATTCTTCCAACTCTTTCCAGAATCCTTCTTCTTGACATTTTTTAATACAGACCCTTATCGAATCCTCAATTTCCTGTCGCTCTAATGCTTCTGAACTTGGCCTACTACTTGAACCTTTTCTTATTCTTAACCAACGTCGACAATAAGCAACCACACGAACAAGCTTCGAGAATGAAGAAAACCTTTGCCACAAGCTTGTGTTAACGACCGCTGTATGAACTTTAACCTGCTCAAGATTTGTAACCAGGTGTTTTGGTTTTGTAAAAATAATTACCTTATTTTTTAGAAACTCTGGGCCTTCAAACCATACAACCATTTCTGATAGTTCCACCGGAGAAATACCTCGTGATGCACAATCCGCAGGATTATTCTTAGTGGCTACATGGAACCAGTGATGTGTATCCAAAATCTGTAGGATTTCAGAAACTCGGTTAGCCACGAAGGTCTTCCACCGGCTTGGGTGATTGTTAAGCCAGGCTAAAACCACCTCACTGTCAGTGAATGCATGTAACTGATCCCTTTCAACCTTCATGACTTCTGCTACCTCAACCATCAACTTAGCCAAAAGTACGGCCCCACAAAGCTCAAGTCTAGGGATAGACACCTGTTTTATGGGAGCTACTTTTGTTTTAGCTGTAACTAACGAGACGTAAACATTTCCCACTTCATCTACCACTCGCAGATACACGACAGCCGCATAAGCCACCTTCGAAGCGTCGGAAAATCCGTACAACTCGCGCTGATATTTATTGCACGTGTGTATCCAGCGTGGAATTTTGATATTCTGTAAGGCAGTTAAATTTTTACGGTAAGTAATCCATTCACTTATTAAATTAGTAGGAACTTGC